AAATCTTCCCACTCTGAAGGCTGAATAAAAAAAAGATTGTTTACAGACCCCGAAACGCCGGCTTTGTGTGGATGAGAGGCTGGTTTGGTGAAAAATTTGTGCGTTTAGGCCAGGGTTCGTCTTCGTGTGGACGGGGCCTTAATCCGTTGCTGTATTGGAACAGTGGCGTCACTTATGACAGTCACAGTGGCGCAGCTTGTCCTCAGAGTCAATCTCCCACCAGCAGCATCCTGCTATTTTTCAGACGTCATTCTAAGAGATTTTGCGCAGTAATCTGTTTTTAGAACTTAAAAACAGTTCACGTCACATAATCTCAGGTGGTAAACAGTAATATTTGAGGGAATCTTTGACAATGTTTATAATTCATAAATGCAATCACAAACATCTACCAAACTCAATTACACATTCACTCTACCCCATAACTCCCTAATCTCCACACAGAGCTAAAGCATTGTTCATTATTTTTCTCCCAGACGTGACGAAAAATGAATCGACTTAGTAATAAAAAGGCATTTTTTTAGAGACTGCTTAAAAATGGCACTTTTTATTGGTAAATTTTCTTTGTCATGGAAGCCAAAACTGTTTGCGCATCCTAAATACTAAATCCTATATAAACCTTCCATATCTGATCCATTAGAAAAAGCGCTGCTTGAATTTTGTTAAAATTCAACCCGCAGTTTGCTCTTTAAAGGCTTTGCTAATAAGGAAGACAAAGAAACAATGTGAAGATGAGTAAGGAAAATATTTTCCAGAGGTTTTGAAAATGGATTAAAAAATCTGAAAGGCAGCTAAGATGCCATTGGTAACTCTGGAGGAGCTGCAGAGATCAACAGCTCATGTTGGAGAAGCCTTTGACTGCACTGTGTCTTTTTGCAAAAAGAAGGTGCTGTAATTAGATTAGAAGAATATTATTTATGTCTGGCCCATATGCGTTTGTTTAAACACATATGGGTATGGATCAGGGAGGTAAAAATAGGATAATGCTGTGAAAAAAACCTAATGAAAACTGCTAAAAACCTGGTTAGCGGTTTACCTTCCTCCAGTGTTCTGGTTAAGATCCAGGCATGTTCATCTGTTACCGGCCCAGTGAAAGTTCAGACACACGCCAGGCTAAGAATCTGTAGCAAAACTTGAACATTTCTTCTTTTTAGTCTCTATTGGATCTGGCTTAAAGGAGTAGTACACCCAAAACATGATTAGCCTTCATTTTCTACTCACCCCCATGCTGAACAACACTCTGGAGTACTTTTTTGATATCTCAAATGCATCTGGAGATCTGGGAGGCTTCTTGCTGTCTGCTGACATTCAAATAATGGAGGTCTATGGTGACCGAGACAGAAAGGTCCATAAAAGTCCACAAAAAACGTGTCAATATTCCTCCATACTGCTCGTCCAATGTATTCCAAGTGTCCTGAGTGGGTAGCATCCATAATTTACTCGAAACAAAGTCATTTAGAATGTTTTTAGAGCTTAAACAGTAGTGTATAGGATTTCCTGGAAAACAAAGAAAGAGAGTAAAAGAACATTTGTCATTTTCATTTCACTTCCCGGCCCTTGGTCTTTCTGCATGGAGTTTGCATGTTCTCTCTGAGCATGCGTGGGTTCTCTCTGGGTACTCCGGCTTCCTCCCACAGTCCAAAAACATGACTGTTAGGTCCTGTTTGTCTCTGTGATGCCCTGCGATGGACTGGCGACCTGTCCAGGGTGTACCCCGCCTCCCGCCGCCCGCTTCTCGCGACCCTACTTGGTATAAGCGTGTATGAAAATTGATGGATGGATGGATTTCACTTTTGATTGGTTTATCACATAAAATTCTGCTTAGGTCTGATAATGTTTTACAAGCAATCATTCAATTATACAAGTTACTGTTAATTCGACATGAAATCCATTAAATGTTTTTTATTTTATTTTTGAGTTTTAACATTTAAAATTGTAATAATTGCAGTTTTTCCTTGTAGGCATATGCATCCATGGTGTCCATGATTGTTTTTGTAGTTGTGGTGCCTTTGCAGGACCTTCTTGGTAAGTTGACGTTGCTCCTGCTCTGCATCCACTTGCAATCCTTAGCCACAAGATGGCCCAGTTTCCCAGGTATTCATTAACTTTTTAACCTCATACTTGTCATGTCATTTTACTTTTCTTTAAATTACAGAGCGAAGAAGTAAGACATCTGCTCTGAGGAGGAGGAGGACAGCTCCTGTGAGCCAAACAGACCAGGCAGACGACATGGGGAGAGCAGCAGGGAGTGCATGGCTCACTCTGCATGACGAAGAGTGGCTCAGACAGGCCAGCGATTTGGCTGTGACTCTATCTGGTGTGTGTCTCAGTGCTTTCTGGACTACACTCCTCTATCATCTCCTGCGACAGACAATTCCCAGCACGGTGATCCAATAGCCACAGAAAAAAAAAAACATTATTGGAAAAGCATACATTTAGAGGCTACCTTTCATGGACTATTTGTGTTTCTGAGCCATGTGACTCATTTAAGGACATAAAGGAGAATAATAAGAGTCATTATGAGTGAGAGCAGTGTCACCTGATGGCTGACAATGTCTCCTCAGTAGCAATATTTAGGGTTTTATCTTTATTAAAAATAAACCACTTATCACAGAGTTCAGTGAAGTATCCCTGCCTGTATTTTTTAAGGTGTGGATGGTTGGCAGGAGTTTGGACCTTTTATTATATTGCATGTTAGTCAAAAGCAGATATAAACTCTATAGCTATGTATTAAAAAAAAAAAAAAAAAAAAGATTCCATTCTAGTGATGATAATGTGTGGAGATGTTTTACCAGCTCGGTTCTAATAAGTCACCTATTAAGGCTTGTCCCTGGTCCTATCAGGGACAGGCAGATGATAAGTGCTGCACAGGAGACAAGGACATACTGCAAAAGTATGTGGGGCATGATAAATGATGTTTGGTCCAAAAGCCCAGTGTTCTTTCTATCACTTAGTCTTTGTGCAGGTGGATGTGGTCAGTGATAAACTCGGCATATATCAACTGTACCCATTGGTAATAAGATTGTAGCTGGAAAAGAAAGGGGCTATAGCAACAGGTGATTTGTTACTTCATAACTCTTGTGCATTTTTTGGGACTGGGATGAAAGGAACCCTTTTGTAAATTCAGTATCTCAGTGAAACAAACTCAGAAATACCCAGTGTTGTTGTTGCTGTTGTTTTGCCTGCATGTCACTTCACCTAACAGTTATTTACAGGTCTGACCGTCTCGGATGTAATAATGTGCAGTTTCTAGGTGGCGTTCATGGAGCTGTCATTAGTTAAATAAGGAGTTGCAATGTGTAAACAAGCCCATGTGGAGCAGCTTCACTTGAAACTGACAGTGTATAATTTAGATAAATGAAATGTTATCCCAGTTTTGTCTTTTATCTCTAAAATAGAATTCGTGTTGTTTGGATTTGTTTTGTTTTTACTTAAGATGAACAAGATTTGCGCTTCATTGTGTTGCTAGAATTTTACAATTCTTACAGATTTTCTCTGTGTTTCATTTTATAAAACAAGCATTAGATGTGATTAGAAGATCTGAGAAAAATAAATAAAAAAAATCAAATGTTTTTAATACATTTTGATTTGCTATGTTTTGGTAGAATTACATGTTTTATGGTTTATTCTCTAGCACTCAAAATGAGTCATCTGCATATGATTTAATTTTATTAGTGTTTCCCTCTGACTTTGTACAGTAAATGTCACGATGGTTCTTCCTTATAGCCTAAAGATTAGTCAGCTGCACATGATTTATTTCTTTTTAAACAAGATCTAGATTCTTCAGAGAAAATGTTTATTAAAAATAAGTGTAAACAAGTTTAATTTTGAAATAATCTGAATGAACTACTGTGTATCTCTTTTTGATACCACTTAAACATCAGTCTGCCTCTTTTCACTTTAGTATATTAGATTTTATGAAACAAGAACTGTATAAATATTTAGAAGTTTTGCTTCTATAACACTTTATCTGTACAGAAAATCAAACAGAGACTGTGAAAATCAAATATTTAAAGGTAAACTAAGGAGACAAGAAACTTATTTTTTGACACTGTCTGTTGCACAATTTAAAAACAATACTTTTTCCTGATTATTTTTTTATTTGGTGATTAGATGTGATTGTTTTCCCAAAGCATCAACGTTTTCTGCAGTGATGTCAGGTAGAGAGAAGGATCCTGTGTAGCAGAGTTCACCACAGAACATCGAACAGGAAGTTCCCTTAAAAGGAAGGAGTGATGCATATTCAATGATACATGACTGGATGTTTGTGTTAAATCAGAAGGCACAAAAGTTACAGCTTATATATTTCAAGGGACTCCCGTGGATTTCACTGGTCTCATCATCTGGTCCCCATCATTAGTACCCAGTCTGGTATCCATTCAAAATCAGGCATCATCCCAGGTTTCAATAGATGCCAGGTGGAAAGTGAAGGAGTAAAAATTGTTTGCCCTTGCTAATTTATCGATTTTTTTTTTAATGAATTAGTACCTCTGGTAGCAGAGCAGACCCACAGCATGACTCTGCCAACAACATGCAAGCTACATAAACCTGTCTGATCCTCTAGTAATTTCTGGTTGATGATATAGATAAAACTCAGTCTAAGGTTCTACTTTTCAAAATCTCATGGATTCATTTGTATATTGGCATGCTTCTGAGCATTAAGCGGTCTGCTTGTCTCCCTAGTGCTTTCAGACAAAGAAAGGGGACAACATTTGGACATATCTTGCAAATTGTTTAAAATTGCCGCCCTAAATAACAGCAAAAAGTCTAAAAAAAAATTATCTAATTACTCTCCAAATTCTCACAAAACTGGACACACTCTTTTTAAAAACTATACAGTATTAATTTCTTATGTTGTAAATGTGCCCTTAAGCTACTGTCTCTCATTTTTTTGTTATTTTTTACCTTGTTTGAATCTGCATGCATCCAGTTTGCCGGTGACTTTGATGCTGGTACCTCTGAAGTTCCCCGCAAAGTGACAATAAAGGTTCTAATCTACAAGATAAATGATCAGAGAGCATTTTATAATGGTGCAAAAGTTACAGGTACCGCCCTATTTAAATGAGGATTTTGCATTGCTTTGACCATGGCATGTTTCAGAGAGCTGAGGGGATTTATTTTAGTCACAATATGCAGCAGCACTGTGCCCAGATGGTCTGTATGATTGCTATGTGGAAAAATTGGTTTGTTTGAAATGATAAGAACCATCAGATGACTTAGAGGCAAGAAGCTTCTGGCATCTGAAGCTGTTGTAGCCACTCATTATCATTGCTTAATTTTCTGAGGGCAATGGTAATCAGAAATGACTTTTACATTATCTTTACAGAAACCCTGAATGGATTAAAATCTTTTTTTCTACCAATTCAGTTTCTGTTTCTATTTAGTTTGTAAATGAATAAACTGGGCTGCCCAGAGGAGCAGTGGGTAGCACTGCAGCCTTGCGGCCAGAAGGTATTAGGTTTAATTCCTGGGCTCTTTCTGCATGGAGTTTGCATGTTCTCCATGTGGATGCAGGGGTTCTCTCCGGGGACTCCGGTTTTCTCCCACAGGCCAAAAACATGACTGTTAGGTTAATTGGCTTCTCTAAATTCTCCTTAGGTGTGAGTGTGTGTGTGAATGGTTATTTGTCCTGTTTGTCTCTGTTTTGCCCTGCAATGGACTGGCGACCTGTCCAGGGTGAACCCTGCCTATCGCCCGTAGACAGCTGGAGATAGGCAACAGCAACCCTCACAACACCGCTTGGGATAAGCATGACGAAAAATACATGGACTGATCGAATAAACAAATGGGAGAGAAAAACAGCAGAATCATTGACAATACTTAACCTTAATAAAGAAAGGAGGTCAAAGTTGCCACTGCAAAATGTGAGTTTATAGTATCACAACTGTGGGAACATCTGTCAACAAACAGAAAGAGAAGCTTTTGATTTCATAGCAAGATGCAACACATTTGAACACTTATTAGCACAGATTGGTCCATTTCTAAGAACAAAAAAGGCACCTCATTTTCATTAACGCTGCAGTTTATTAAATTAGTTATTTCTGTTTTAAAAGAAACTAAAAATTCCACTTTAACTGATGAATTGATAAGGGCGAGGTGATACAACAACCCAACTGTTCTCAATCGATAAAATGAATTCAGAGCTGCTGGACAGCACACCAGAAAAAACACTGAGAGAGACGCTGACAGCTATGGTTTGCTTGGATGATGCATCCAGGCACAAGAAAATAGTTATGCAAGGAATTTGTGCCCAAAACAGCATGCTAATTTCTGACATATCATTTTACAAAGCAGATACTCTCTCTGCTTTCACTAATAGCAGCACTGGCTAGAAAATGCAGCGATACCTCAGTTTCATACCTGCAAACATAGATGCAGACACCAAACCTGCAATATGTCCCAGAACTGATAAATCAGTCTGCAGTTAGAAGTTGATCACCATTTTTTTCCCCTCCTCCCACTGTTTTGCATGTTCTGATGTTAAGCATTTGTTCTGCATATTGATAAAGGCAACGTGCAAAAACCTTTAAATTGCTATTTCGCTCATCTTAGAGAGCCAACCACCTCATGCGATGTGGTTGGTGAGGCCTCTTTATGTGGAGATCCAAGAACATAGAAGTTCGTCAGAGTTAAGAAAAAGATGGATAAAGCGGAATAAGTCTTATAATTTAAATACTACAGTGGAAAAATTATGCATCTAAACCAAAGTTATCTGCTTGAGTTGCCCTGTCAAAGTCCACATCTAGGTCCAATTGAGAATAAGGCTAAGTATTTAAATTCCAGCTACAAAGCAAGAGACATAACCTAAAGGCCCTGCAGCTGTACTGAAAACAAAAGTGGTTCTATACATTTTTAGAAACAAAAGCTAAAAAGAACTGTTTCAGAATTTTCACATTCTCATTTAAAAACAAAAATAATCAAACTAAAACTGAATACCAGGAACCCTTTATATTTATGCACAACTTTGTGTTGGTTTATTCATTACATGATGTCACATTGAAATACAGTAAAGGTTTTAATATAAACAAGATCTTTAGAGCAAGGCTAAATATATCATCTGATAGACGTCAAATGATACCACTCCTACACCATAACATGAGTAAAGGTAGATTGACCTCAGCTGGACTTTGGAAACATCTAATACTTACTGGAGATAATGATGTGATAAAAAGCAATTGAACCTGAAATTCAGCGTTAGAATAAACAGGCTGTTATACAGAAGAGGATTAGAGCCACTGAACAAATAAAGGCCACTAAAAACATAAAAAGTTAACTGATTTTTAATTTTTATTTCAGTTTATTAAGGGAAAAAGTCAGAATTCTAAGATTAAAGTCAGAGTTCTGACTTTTTCCCCATATTAAACTGAAATAAAATAAAAAAATCAGTAAACTTTTTACGTTTTTAGTGGCCCTAATCCTATTCCATATGGCTATATATATATTTACTGTTAGATTATTTTCTTTCAATTTTTGTATTTTTTCCTTGCTGTCTTAGATCATTATTATTTGAGCAGTGTATTTTAGCTACTCTAAATCACTGACAAAGTATAAAAATGAATAAACAAATAACACCTGGCCAAATTACACTCCCAGGGACGTTAATCACAACATTAGTAGCTGCTTTAAGACAAGCTTTCTGTTCTGTGAAAGCATGACTGAGCAGAGTGGGATGTCCTCCTATAACCTGCAGCACACACGAAAAGTTTAAAGTGTTCACGCTCTAGTGCAGCACATGGCTGAGTGAGTGAATAGTCAGGTTTCACTCAGGAATGTTATCAGGGTTTCTTACAGAACAAGACATTTTTTCACAAAATGATACAACACCAACTCCCAGCCTGACTCAAGGTCACAACAGCACTTTGAATAAATCCACTATCAGCTAATGTGAAGAATGAAATGTTCGGTACGGATGTGGTGTGACTGCATCAGTGTATTTAAATGTGAACAGCAACATGAGACAACTCCGGTCCTCAGCCTGCTGGGAGTTAGTTATATGGCTCAGGGAGAGGAACCTTGTCTCCAGGGTATACTGGTGGCGCTGGACTTCAGGGCCGGATAGATGGTCAGTCTGAGTCACAGTCAGTTAGTGATGAGGAATGCAGGAGCTATTCTTTGGCCCTTCCCAAAACAAAATGTTTCACTTTGTTAAAATGATGTCTTATCTTCGAAATGACTTTTATAATCAAAGCCAAGTGTGGTTATAAAAGTCACATGGACTTTTAATTTTGCTCACCTAGGGCTATGATAACAAATAAAAAAAAAACTTAAAGGAAAATTCCGGTTTTTAACACTTTTAGCCCATTTTCTGTAGTGTCCAGGATGAAATCGAATGATCGACACCAAAATTTTGACGATTGGTCCTGTCTCTGCTATTAGGCTCATGCAGAATCCCCCCCTGGCTGCTTCAGAATGGCTTCCATAGTGCATGTCCGATAATGTCCTTAAAACAACCTTAAACGTTCTTTTTTTAAAATATGCTACTCACCAGGTCGTCAGCGCTGTTCAATGACGTTCCAAAAAAAGTTTCATAAAGAAAAACCGTTCCTGTAGTGTTTTATTTAGCATTTTGTAAATCCCATTGAGTTCTGTTGGAATAGTCAATATCCCTCCGCCACCGGAAACGGAAATGGGGCCTGTTTACGCTTAGTTGTAGTCTTTTCGCAAGGCCCAAGTGTTTCTGCTTGTCGAGGTGCTAACGTCTCTGTTAAACACTTTAAAAAACTCTGAAAATGGAATACGAAAGGTGGATTCTTGAGGAGGACATATTGGACTTTGAGTTTGACGGTAGAGGATACCGTCGCCAACTAGTGGTCTGGAGTGTGCAACGCTTCAGATTCGAACGGGAAGCGGAAGTTTATAAGCGGTTGTGATGTATCGGAAAAAATAGTTATGGGATTTACAAAATGCTAAATAAAACAAGACAGGAACGGTTTTTCTTCACGAAACCTTTTTTGGAACGTCATTGAACAGCGCTGACGACCCGGTGAGTAGCATATTTAAAAAAAAGAACGTTTAAGGTTGTTTTAAGGACATTATCGGACATGCACTATGAAAGCCATTCTGAAGCAGCCAGGGGGGGATTCTGCATGAGCCAAATAGCAGAGACAGGACCAATCGTCAAAATTTTGGTGTCGATCATTCGATTTCATCCTGGACACTACAGAAAATGGGCTAAAAGTGTTAAAAACCGGAATTTTCCTTTAAGCTATGTTATGTACTTTATTCTAAAGAATATTCAAAGCTTATCAAATTTCTCTACATTGTAAAATGATCATTAGGACACATTGAGAGTAAAATAATTGTTAATAATGATTGTGGATTTACAATGCAGCTTTAGAAGCTTGGTTGTGTTTTAAGCGCAGAGACGAACCAAACACTGTATGCTGTTTATAAAAACATCTTCAGAAGTTGTTAAATAATATCTATAGCTCAAACTACTCAGGGAAAGAACATGACGTGGATTAATTACACTAAAATTTTCAGCAATTATTCACTAACAACAAACGAAAAGGTGATAAATCAAAGTATTATTTTACACTGTAAAAAATAAAAAAAATCCAATACAGAAATTTAAGATATAAGAAAAAAAAAACCTTATTGGCAGCTGACAAATTATTATTTTCAAAAGTTTTTTTTTTTATTAACTATTATTATTTTATTTTTTATCATATTATCATTGGAACACATGTTTTTATTTGCTGAGGTGTTGCTGTAGAAATGTAGCAACAAATGATTTATTTTAAAGCCATTCTTTAACTTTTACATTACAAAAAGTTTAGAAGAACCAAGTTTTGTTTTTCATATTCAAAAGATTTTGAACATTTTGGACTTTTTTTTTTTCAGTCAAATTAGTGAATTTTAATTTTAATACAGCAGTGGTGCAACCACTGTGGGAAACGGGTGGGGGTGGGGAGGTGGCAGGGAGGTAGGTGGAACAGACTGTTCTTTCCTGCTGAATCACTAATTGAAACAAAGTCATGCATTCCAGCGGATCAAATTAGGAAAGAATGAAAAAAAAAAAGTCTTTATAGGCGCATTTATAGGAAAAGCAGATCTACAGTCGTTGTCACAGAGCTGTGACAGACACATCATGATCAAGTTGTGCACATTGCTTTTAAAGGAGAACAAGTAAATGATTTTAATACAAAATAGGACAGTGCAAGGTGATTCTCAGAGAGATTTATCTGAAGTTTTCTGTTATTTTTTTTAATTTGATATGAGGGAAGTGTGATGTAAAATTCTAAAAATAGTGAGTCGCAAAGACAGCTGACAAAACTAGGCTAAGGTTAGGCTGTCCTAATGTAATAAAAAAAATCTTTATCATTCAT